TTTCAAACCATAAATTCAATTCCAAATTAGACTAATTCAAATTCAGTTTTCAAAAGCATTTATTCAAGTTACAATTCAGATTCAATCTGAGCAATTCAAATTCAAATTTAACTTATTCAAATTCAGTTTCTGATGGCACAGATTTCTGCCCATATGCAAGCTCTGTCCTAAGAGGTCTTTCTGGTCCATCATGAGTTTTGGTTTGCCCTCATGGATGAGGTGTTAGGGCAGAGGCCTTCTACCAGGACTCCAGTCCTAATGACCTCCATTAACCTGAGTGTCCCAGTGTGCACAGGCACCTTTAATCAGGCCTGCTATTTGCCTGAGTATGAAGTCTCGAGCAGTGCTGCTGAATCTGCTGGACCAGGACCAAAAAGAAGAAGGAGGTGCCACAACTGAGACCCTTGGTTTGCGTTTCCAGCTACTGAGTGGAGCATCATACAGGGTGGTCTCCACAAGGTGTTCAGGGATGCTCTTCTCCATTGTCCACTGCATCATGTATCTCTTGGGTTTGCAGGGCTGATGTGACTAATGCCTGCCATGTCACTAAAATGTATTCAGAACGATGCAAGATCAAAGTGGTGCAAACCAGTCTCCCCTTCATTTTGCACATCATCCTTGGGCTCATCCCCCGGGGCCACAATGTCACCAACACCAAGGCAGATGTTATGCAGAACAGCACATGCTGCTATGACCTGAAACAGATGTTTCGTTCTGTAAATAAAGTGTTTATACATGCACATACACTAAAAACAATAAAGATGTATTCTAATGACTTATATATGTTACAAAGGTGTGGTGCATCTCCAGCGCTTGGAGGAAGATGGCATGGAACCTTGTCTTCATCATTCCAAAAGCATGCTCTATAATAGACCATGACCTGGATTGATGAGAGTTGAAGCGCTAGGCACCCACACCTTGGACTGGCCTCTTGTAGGGAATGATAAGAGGGAGTGGATGTTGGACAGATGGGTACCCTCCATCTGTGAGGATGAAATGCACTGGAGGAGGGTAAATGGCCTGCCAGTACAGTGGGCTGTTGTGGAGCACCCTGGAGTCATGCACTGACCCCGACCAGCCCACATATGTAGAGGGAGTGCAGAATTATTAGGCAAGTTGTATTTTTGAGGAATAATT